GCGACGGCGACGGCGATGACGACGACGACGACAACAACGACGACGGCGACGGCATTGGCGACGGCGATGGCGACGGCGACGGCGACGACGACGAAGATGAAGACGACGACGACGACGACGACGACGGCGACTTCGACGGCGACGATGAAGACGACGACGACGGCAACGACGATCAAAACGACGACGGCGACGAGGTTGACGACGACGGCGACGGTGACGACGACGGTGAAGACGACGACGACGACGATGACGGCGACGGCGAGGGCGACGACGACGATGAAAACGACAACGACGACGAAGACAAAAACGATGACGGCGATGGCGACGGCGACGGCGATGACGACAACGACGACGACGAAGACAAAAACGGCGACGGCGACGGCATTGGCGACGGCAATGGCGACAGCGACAACGATGAAGACGACGACGACGGCGACGGCAACTTCTAAGGCGACGGCGACGGCGACGGCGACGGCGACGGCGACGGAGACGACGACGACGACGACGACGACGGCGACGGCGACGACGCTGACGACGATGGCGACGGCGACGACGACGGCGACGGCGACGACGATGAAGGCGACGATGAGGACGACGACGAAGACGACGACGGCGACGACGAGGATGAAAACGACAACGACGACAATGACGACGACGGCGATGGCGACGGCCACGACGACGACGGCGACGACGACGGCGACGACGATGAAGACGACGACGACGAAAACGACGACGGCGACCAAGACGACGGCGACGGCAACGACAATGGCGACGATGCAGATAACGACGACGACGACGACGGCGACGGCGATGAAGACGACGAAGACGACGAAAACGACGACGGCGACGGCGATTGTGACGGCGACGGCAATGGCGACGGCGACGAGGACGACGAGGACGACGACGAGGACGACGACAAGGACGACGACTGCGACGGCGACGGCAACGACGACGGCGACGACGATGAAGACCACGACGACGACGTCGACGTTGACGAGCGACGACGGCGACGGAGACGGCGACGACGACGATGAAGACGACGACGACAACGGCGACGGCGACGGCGACGACGATGAAGACGACGACGGCGACGAAGAAAACGACGACGGCGACGGCGACAGCGACGGCGACGACGAGGACGATGAAGTCAGCGAAGGCGACGGCGACGGCCACGGCGACTTCGACGGCGACGGCGCGGGCAACGACGACGACGACGGCGATGACGACGACAACGACGGCGACGGCAACGGCGACACCGGCGTCGACGAAATCGACGACGGCCACGGCGACGATGTTGACGACGATGGCGACGGCGACGACGACGGCGACGACGACGACGATGAAGACGACGATGAGGACGACGACGAAGACGAAGACGACGACGGCAACGATGAAAACGACGACGACAGTGACGACGACGGCGACGGCGACAGCGACGACGACGACGACGGCGACGGCGTTGGACACGCCGATGACGACGGCGACGGCGACCACGACGACGGCAGCGGCAACGACGACGATGAAGACGACGACGACGACGACGCCGGCGACGGCGACGGCGACGGCGTCGGCGAAGGCGACGGCGATGGCGGCGACAACGACGACGGAGACGACGGAGGCGACGGCGACGGCGACGGCGACGGCGACGGCGACGGCGACGGCGACGGCGACGGCGACGGCAAGGGCGACGGCGACGGCGACCACGACCACGAGGAAAATGCCGAGGACGAGGGCGACGATGAAGACGACGACGACGATGAAGACGACGAGGACGACGACGACGACGACGACGGCGACGGCGACGGCGACGGCGACAGCGACGGCGATGCGACGGCGGCGACGACGACGACGACGGCGGCGGCGACGGCGATGACGACGACGACGGCGATGGCGACGGTGACGGCGACGGCGACGGCGACGACGACGACGACGACAACGGTGACGACGAGGACGACGACGGCGACGGCGACGTCGTCGTCCTCGTCGTCACAGCCTTTTGGCGTGTCAATCTTAGGGATAGGGATAAGTTCGAGGCTGGTGAGATAGGGATTCTACGAAATGGCTCCCCGAGGAGCAGGAGGGAAAAGACGAGCAGGGAGGAGCCGCAGGAGGAACAGCAGGAGCGGGGGGCGAGAAACAAAGCGCCGCGGAGCGTGACGACGGTGCGGAGGATGAGGAGGAGGGAGAGGCGCAACAAGAACCATGCGGTGCTTCTTTCTTTTCGTGGCTACCTAGCTGGGCTGCCTTTGGACAGGGGTCCGATCTGTGGGCTCAATGCGTGGGCGCAGCGTGCGTCCTGGGGGCGAAGCTGGCTGCGTGACCCGCCTGGCACCAAATGAAGCGCTCCACATGGTGCACACGGCATCAACAAACGATCGGTCAACTCCCTTTGAAATGCACAACCGCGGTCAGCACAGAAGCCATAACGCAGACAAGCAGTGAGGAAGGGACCCAAGCAGCGTGCTTTGGCTACCCGAGAGGCGGCGTATGTCAGCGATGACCTGTGCGACTCACGGCGCAAATCCCTGATTGAAATGGATAGCTTGGAGAGGCAGAGACACAGACGGAGAGAGAGAAAGAGAGAGAGAGAGGGAGAGGCTGAGCGAGAGAGAGAGAGAGAGAAAAAAAAAAAAAAAAAACAACTGATATTCAAACACGGGAAGAAAAGCATTAACATGAAGGGATAACTGCTTATACAGAAAGAGGTTACGTACATGCGCGTACAAATCCAGAGGCTGACAAAGAGAAGATAGATAGGAAATGAGAGATGGAGGGGATGAAAGACGGGGAACAGCGAATAGAGAAGGACAGGGAGAACCAGAGCGAACAGGAAATGGAGGGGTACGGGAAAAGACTGAAGGGGAGAGCGAACAGAAGCTACGGAGTCAAATGGGACGGCGATCCGAAAACGAGTGCACGAGGTGACCGCAGGAATGAGGTCCCCCTCTCCAGCAATATGGAAGTATGCGATTGCATCTGAGGGACGCCCCAGAGATCGCTCCACGACGGCCCGAGAAAAAATTCGAAGAGGGCCCCAAGGCTGCCCGAGAAGCACCCACGAGGGCCCCAGGACGGCCCCCGAGGCGCCCGAGACGGCCCAAAAAGAGAGCCCCGAACAGTGCCACGGGATGGGGCCCAGGTCGGGCACCTCGAACTGGCACGTCGAGCCTCCCTCCCAAGAAAGACTCCCAGACCCCCAGCAGGCGCCCACCGCCCCCCCCGAGAGGCCCCAAGAAGCCCCCCCCCCAACAAAAAACACAAGGATCCCCAAGAAGCCCCAAGAAGCCCCCCAAGAAGCCCCCCCCCCAAAAAAAAGACCACAAGGATCCCCAAGAAGCCCCAAGAAGCCCCCCAAGAAGCCCCAAGAAGCCCCCCCAAGAGGCCCCACCCGCGGACTTGTTTTTCCCCTGGGGGTCGGCGGATCGGCGTGAGCCTCTGGAATCTCGAAATGGCAGTTGGGTGCTGAGGGGTGCGGCTCAAGAGAAGTACAGTCGGGGCGTTGACCTAAGGAACCCTAAATAAGGAACGAGACCCCTTTTTCCCATAAGTTAAACTTCGATTTCCCATCGGAACCCTAAGCAAAACCAAAGGCGAAGTGCAAAACAACTAAGGAACACCGAGCCCCTCCCCAACGGAAAGGGTTCCTTCCTCAGCGCCCCGACTGTAGGAGGAATAGGAAGGCCATAAACGCGATGATGAACATACGGAATAACAGCGTCACAGCAGCACGGAGCGCGGACAGGGAGGGCAGGGAGACAATGGAAGAGACGAGGGAAGGAGCAGGAGAGGAAGAGGAGGATGAGGGAAGGAGGGAGAGGGAGGAAGAGGACGAGAAGGAAGAGAACAATACGGAGGAGGAGGAGGAGGACGGGGAGGGCGGCGACGAGACAAGAAGTCGAAGGATATGATAAAGAGGGCACGGTGGGTGACGACGAGGGGGTTGGAGATGGGGGGCGGGAAGGACGACAGGAACGGTAGCGATAGTGGCGATGACGATGGCCATGATTCATGATTAGCTCAACACGATCATGATTTTGGTTCGACCGAATGTTCGGCCGGATTCCGATGACAGACAGAAATTGCCGGCTTCGACAATATTTGCCGTTCGGCTATACTTTGCCAAATGCCGGCCTAAGGGCTGCGCCGCAACAGACGGCATGCTTCGCGGCGTGCGGTCGAAACTGATAGTAAGGATGTGCGGTACCCAGATGCGATCGCGTGGTAACAGAAATCAGGACGGGAAATTGTTGGCCGATTTCGGCCTCGGGGGGCCCTCGCTGGGCCTCGGGACCGTCAAGAAACGACTCAAGACGAAAAAATGGGTCCCAGGGGAAAGGGTTGGGACTGCCAGGGACCCCGTGTTGAAAAAATCAGGACGTCGCATGTCTGGGATAGTAAGGATGTGCGGCAAGGATGCGAGCCCCTTTGGCGCCGATGTCGAAGCTGTTCGAGCGGGGCTGGCTACCGGAAGCTGCTCAGGATGGGCCGGGACAGGCAAGGATGTGAGGGTACCCTTGGGAAGGCCACCCACCCTCGTCTCGGCGGCGAGCCCAGGGGGGGAAGGGAG